TTTCCGACACACTGCGCGCACAGGGAGCAGCGCAGCGCACTGCGCACTGCGAACAGCGCACAGTGCACGTGCTGCTAAACTGGAGCATGCTTAATTTTTTTATTTTTTCCGGCGCACTGGGCGCACATGTCGCAGCGCGCACACTGCGCACTGCGCACCGCACAGCGCACTGCGCACTGCGAACAGCGCATAGTGAGTGCCCGCGCTGCTAAACCAGCGCACTGCGCACTGGGCACCGACGCGCACTGCGCAGCGCACACGTGCGCCGCAACTATGCCTAAAAGTGATGCCGAAGCTGAGTGTCTGGTCAAGGAGAATATTGGGTTGATGTGGACTGCTATCGTCTTCCTCTGACACACAACACACCCTCAGTTTGGCTACACCAGACAGGAAAGATAGCTTGTATATTCTTTGGCTATCAGGGTGCGTTGTGTGTGGGGTAAAACAGTAAGGGTAAAGAAGCCTTTGCCTGCCACTATAATGCCATAAAGGTTTAGTCAAGCATTGGGTGTTCCTAAGCATCAATGTCCATGAGCACTACCATCTTCACCCCAATAGAATGCCCGGTCCTTGTAGCTGTATTTAGTGCTTAGCGCTACTTTCAGTCAAGGTACAGCGAAAAATAGCCGATACTGACCAGACGGAGTATTTGGGCGAAGATGGTAGTTTACTTAGGTTGGTTGACATTACGATGAGAGTTCGATTCTGGCAGTATTTGGAAAGGAGAGGACCTCGTTACTGTCTGTTGATTGGTAGTCATTATTAATGAATGAACGAATTGCATTTTGAGAAATGGAAGATTGAATCCCTCATCCCTTCTCTCTCTAAATTCTTCCCGTTCAGCTGGCTACACGTGTTCTTTGAAGCTGGTTGTTGTGTTGCGTCTTATATTTATTGTATGTGCGCTTGTGAATGCAGGCATTTTGTGACAACAGCAAAGAGGATAAAGATTGTGCAGACATCTCAGTATTTTGGAAGAGGGCCAGGTAATGCCTAAGGAATGATGTTGATTGGTGTCATGCATCAAGGGGACAGTTGTAGTCTTTGAGCGGTCCTCAGGGCGGGCATACACACACTGGGACTTTTTCAACAGCTCCGTGGGAGTAATTTGTGGTCAGGTGCATCCGGGTCGGTTCAGAAAAACAGACATACTTGTAGTGAAGTCTGAGTGTGAGTATACCCTCATTCTATGGTGTTCCTCCTTCCCTGTTCTCCAACCATCGTCAAAAGTCTGTCATACATATCTAACAGTTAGGTAGCAGGGCCAATAACAAACCGACCGACGTACTTTTTCACGGCATGGATGCTATGCCAGGTTGATAGCTATGCCTATACGGCCTGCTGTAGTGCTCCTGAGTTTTCAACTTTTCTTCGTCTGCTTCATTGAGAGAGAGAGAGAGAGAGAGAGAGAGAGAGAGAGAGAGAGAGAGAGAGAGAGAGAGAGAGAGAGAGAGAGGGTGCTGTTTCGTTTCCATCTAGATGTAATTTCTACTGACCGGGTAATATTCGATGTTCATGTCTGCTCAACTTCTGCAGGTTACCCTTGAGGCGGAAAGGATGATATTGTCGAAGAAGTAATTTAGTATTGTTCAAAGCTGGTTGCATTTGCACCAGCCTGGCTGACGCTATCCTTGGGCATGGGCTCATCCGGTTTGCATCTCTTCAACCAGACTATTGAGTATGGTTCTACCAATCTCACGCATTGGCGTGTGTGGTGTAAATGGGTTGTATGCTGTTCTATTAAGGAGTGTATGTTCTTCGAGCAGATAAAGATACGGAACGGTTGTGGCCAGGTAGTGATTTACAATCTCTGCCTGAGGTTGGGGTATGCGATGCCCTGGTGTTGGAGTGTGGCGGGTCCTTCAGTTCAGGCTATGGCTGTTCTAATGGCTCTTGATCGTCACGATCATTCTAGGCTATGGAAGTGCCCTGGTGTTCGAGTGTGGCGGGTCCTTCAGTTCAGGTGTGGTGCGGATGTGCTGGGACTGTCAGTGGTTGAGGTTGGCCATAGGATGGTGGAAAGAGATGAAGAGCTTTTTCTGTTCATAGACTGTGTGCAGGTGTTGTCGCTCTCACGGAGCTCAGCTATTGAACAATATCAGGAGTTTTGATGGATTTGGGTATCCGTTCTTCTTGTCTAAGAGGTTTTGGAGCACTCCAGCGAAAGACTGTAAGTGGGGATTGGCATTTGAGAGCCGCTCAGGTGTAGATGCGGAACAACCTTGGTTGGTGCCTACGTGATAGTGGCACATGTGGTGGAGATCTCCGACAGTGGGATGTATGGGAGAAGACTGTCTGATATGTGAGCTTCTCGGGAGGGATTGGATGTCGTTGGTTGAGGCTGGGCAGAAGGTGGTGGGAAAAGATTATCTTTGCAGTGATAGATAGTCAGCAGGTGTTGTAACGTCCTTGGAGCTCGGCAGTTTAATACCACAGACGTGTTAGGGTCCCGATCGCATTGGTTATTGCGCACCAGGTCGTGGGCCTTTGTGAGGAATGGATGGAGGAACATTGAACACCAGAGACGTCTAAGGGTTCTAGTTGCAGTTGTGATTGTGCGACAGTGGTGGACTATTATGAGGAGTAGGTGAAGGCTTCATCTGGGAGATCCTTTGGCGTGAAAGTGATGTGTGCGATTTACCGGGGTGTATTGCCGTCTGCTTGATGACGGGGAGGATGGAGAAGCTTTCCAGAGGGGTTGGCAGATTGTGTCATTGAAATCTGAGAGCTGGGGTGTTTTGGTGAATCTGGGAGTTGGTAGTCGATTTGGTTTGCGGTTTCAGTTGTCGGGCCATTGTGCACCCCACCCCAGCTTGGGAATAGACATTTGTCAGAGCTCCTAGATATAGTAGAGGCAAGCGAAGCGTCCAGCTTGGGAATAGACATTTCTCAGACGATTTCTGACCATTTCTATCAATAGTGTGGACTTTACATGTCCTACCAGTTTTGCAGATGCGGGATGAATTCAGGTCTTCGGGCCATTGTACACCGGAGAGCTTTTCTTCTAATTTTAATTATTTCTTGGAGAGTTTAGAAGACTTCGGAAGGTGTGACGGAGCAGTACATCGGGGGAAGGATGGTGGCCAGTAACCGGGTCTTTGTGAAGCGGTAGAAATTGTGTGAAAACATGTAGTGAGGTTGCTGGCCACGTAGGGAAATAGCTAAGAGCCGACCTACGCTCGAAAGGAGTAGGATCTCTGCAGCATTCTGCAGAGAAAAGAAGTAAACAGTATGTTACGTCGTCCCCTTGCTCGCTGTGTTGTTTCTCGTGCGGCATGAGGCATGCAGCTCATCGAATTTGATTCCTTGGTCCATTTTCATTTTATTACTTTTTCTTGTTTTTCCTGTCCCTAGGGTGGAATGTGGCGTGGAATTTGCCGCAGAGAGGGACACACTTTCTGACTACCTGCAGATTGGCACTTCCTATCTTAAAACCTCCTTTACCTTCAACTCCTTCAGAGGTGTGCCCTGTTGTGACTGGGGAGACGTCTTCGTCAGCATAAATGTTTAGCATGACTACCATGCCGCCGCATACTCTTGTGTCAACGTGTTTACCTTGCACAAGCGGTTCCAGTCTGATCTCCACTTTTCCTTTCCGCGCTCCCTCCCCCTGCCATTTTCTCTCTCGTTAGCGGACATAGGCTCAGACTCCTCAGAGCACTCTATGTCTGACTCAGCCATTTGTGTGCACCTCAGATCCGGCAACGCTTTGCTAAGGAGATGGAACACTGGTTGCAGGAATTTTGAGGTTAATTAGAGTGTTGGAAGGGGTGTACTCAGTTATACCCTGCAACTTGTAATAGGTTCACAACAAGCTTCTTGCGAAGCATCTGTCAGATGTGTGGGCACATGCAATAGATCACAAGTGCAGCGCTCGATCGTTGAACCACATAGTTGTCTGCATTTAAGGGATGCGATTGACTGAGGCGGTTTCTACAAGTGAGTTCTTCTCCTCTTCTAAGTGCCTGTGGTGGTCGATACGAATCTCCATGTGCAGCAACTCTATTTAGAGGATATAGGGGCGAATGAAGTGTGTTCCAAAGCTGATTCAGGGCCAACTCTGTGCAGAGGATAGGAGCGAATGAAGTGCGTGCCGAAGTTGATTCAGGGCCAGGGCCACAGTAGTCGATGGTTCTCTGTGAGTGGGATGGCCTCAGCGCTTCTAAGTAAGCTCATCATATGTCATGAGTAGCCTCATGGCAGATTTGAGTAACATACATTGGTGGTGGAGGTTAAATTCTCTGTCGAAGCGAAGCACAAGGTGCCAGCATAAATGAAGTGCTCCTTATTGGTTTGGCTTCTGTGAGCTTTGTGGTTGAATCACAGGTATGTGCCAGATTACAGCATTAGCAGATACAGGGGGAGAGAGAGTTGCACGCGCGCGCGCACACACACACACACACACACACACACACGCACACCTGTCGAGCTGTCTCTTATACACATCTAGATGTGTATAAGAGACAGCCAAGAGGCTGACACTTCCATAAAGGAAGTGAGG